CACCGCACCGTGCTGCGTGGCAGAGCCTGGCCCCAGCCCAGGTGCCGCCTGGGCAGCGGGGAGCCCACGGGCCACCAGCCAGTTTCATTAATTAGCGACTACAGCTGATGAGTTTCTGCTGCCGTGGCCCGGCTGCGTCACCACCAAACACCCCGCTTCTGCTTTCCTTTTCGCTTTTGCTGGTTTAGCGGGTAAAAGGCACCCCCAAAAAATAATCCCACTGTGGGCCCGGCGCATCGCTGATGCTCGTGGGTGCCCGTGCCGGCGTGGGGGTGAGCTCAGTGGTCCGTAGCGGGGTGCACCTCAAGGTGACCCCAGCTTAGCCCCCCGTTCCCCACAGGGTTTGGGCCATGACGGAGGCGGCGGGGCTGGTGCCCAAGCGCATCCTGGTGACGGGTGGCACCGGCTTGGTGGGGAGAGCCATCGAGAAGGTGGTGGCTGATGGAGAGGGGCGGCCGGATGAGGAGTGGATCTTCGTGTCCTCCAGAGACGCCGACTTGACGTGAGCTGACCGCGTGGGTTTTTGCTTGGAAACCCCCCCGGTCTGCTGCCTCGGCACCACTGAACCCCAAAATTTCCCATCCCAGGAATGCTGTGGAGACCAAAGCCCTCTTCGAGCAGCACAAGCCCACCCATGTCATCCACCTGGCCGCCATGGTCGGGGGCCTCTTCAAAAACATTCGCTACAACCTGGATTTTTGGGTGAGCACATGGCAAACGGGCAGAATTGGGGTCCCTGAGGATGCTGCAACCCCCTGCCCTCCCCGAGCTGGGACATGGGGAGACAGGGACATGGCTTTCTCTGCTCCTGGGGCTAAACCACAGCTCCTCCAGTTTCTGGAGTTATTAATGAGTTATTAGCCGTAGGGTGCTGGGTTTTGGGTGTTCCCCCACCCCACAGATCTGACAAACCTCTCCATCCCCAGAGGAGAAACATCCATATCAACGACAATGTCTTGCACTCGGCCTACGAGACGGGCGTGCAGAAGGTGGTCTCCTGCCTCTCCACCTGCATCTTCCCGGACAAGACGACATACCCCATCGACGAGAGCATGGTGAGCATCTCCATCCCCATGCACAGCCCAGTGGGGGTCCCTGCCCCGCTGAACTCTCTGCTCTTTTGTCCCCAGATTCACAACGGGCCACCTCACAGCTCCAACTTTGGCTACTCCTATGCCAAGAGGATGATTGATGTCCAGAATAGGTGCGGGGGGGACACACAGGAGAGCCTTTGTGGGCTGTGGGCACCCTCCAGTTATCAGGGCAAGGAGAATCCTCCAGGGCTCCCAGAAATTGAATGGAGCTGGGGAAGATCCCTGGGCTCAGCAGATGGAGATGCTGCTGGCTGGGGTCTTCTGGGGACAGCTCTGTGCCTGGAGCGGGTGGGGTGACTGTGGCTGGTG